TCTCCAGCTCTTTTTTGACCCTTTGTATTTCTTTTTGTTCATCGTTTTTTTGCGCTTTTTTCGTTGTTGTCGCTTTATTCTAGAGTAGTTCTATCAATTCCCGTCAAAAAGGGTACCCTAAATTTATCGTGAATGGTGCCTTTAAAGACATCGTCTTGGAGGCAGAGCATGAGGAAGAACCATAAGGTAAGCACGACAAATAGCAGAAAATCCTATCAGAGAACGTGCAAAAGTATGTTGCTCAGTTCGAAGGTATGAGATGAGCTGATTGCAGACGACTACTTTATGTAAACAGAGAACAACTCCGAATACATGCGGAATGTTGTAGTCGTCGTCGAGAAGGGGTATCAGGCTATAAAGGTACGAGCAAACCAACATGTATGAAGTGGGATGAGCCCCGTGCACAACCGGTAATGCTCCTTAGTCCACAAAAGCTCAAAGCGCGTCTACAATACATGATCCTGGAACCGCCTTTTGCTAATTTCAGAACTGTCCCACTAATGTTCCTTAACCTTAATGTTCAAAAAAACAACTCGGCTCCTTCCTTAACTTCCTCCTCGTCATCTAATTTTTCGAACTTTTCTTAGCTTGCAACTTCTGGTTCTTCTAGACTATATCACAGAGCGTTTTCCCTTGTTCATTCAATTACCCTTTTCTCTCAGCTGCACTGAGGATCTATGTAGCTTTCCTTACTTACTGAGGAGACTGGGCGTCCACAAATGTTTCTCCATAGCTTTGAAAGAGGAAGCTCGCTCAAATGGAGCTTTGGAATGGCTTGAGTAAGAGAATAACAAAGGCATGCTATTAACAGCCTATTAGTATTCCAAGCCTTTGTTAAGTGATATTAAACGATGTCAACTACACGCAGCCACTTTCACGCTGCTCACTTTCGATCAGCTTCCATGAAATAGCGCTGGTTAGAAGAGAAAGTGATCCATCGAAGGCATATATAAACTGTGCACGGACCCAAATAATGTGTTCTCGATGATACCTTCACTACTGATTTTCAAATCGACGTATATTTCCAATTCCTTTCCTCTCCTCTTTCCTCTTCTCTTTTTGATTTCCATTTTGCTTTTTGGGTGTGGTGATGTATTTTGGTGGGAGAGGTG